GGGACACCCCTGGTACCTTTGGGAGAAATGCCATCCTCGGCCTGTACTGCTGGCCTTGGTGTCGGATCGTCATGCTGGACCCGGGATGAGTTCACCAGCACAACACGAATTTGAGAGAAAGGGAAAGCACCCCCCAACACACACCGGCCCCCCTCAGTTGGGAAGCCGGCCTGGCCCGCCCCAGCCCCGCATCGTCCGGGAGGAGCCGGGCGGGGAGCGCTCGGGGCCGGGCAGCGGCTCCCAGCTCCTCCGCTCTAACTCCCCAAACAGCTGGAGTCCGCGTCAGCCAATCAGCGGGCGGCGGCGCGGCCTCATTAGCATGCGCTGCGCGGGCGCCCGCCTGCCACCAGGAGGCGGTGTGCGGCTCCACCTGTATTCGGTGGAGCCTCAGGTGACCCCCAAGGGTCAGGGATGAGCAAGCAGGTGGCAGTGTCCCCAAAGAACCCAGCTTGGGCCGCCACCGTTAAAGCCTGGGAAATTAAAAACGGTGTGACTAGCTTTGGCTCTCTGGCTAGTCTGACTCCCAAGTTACTGAGTGACAGCAAGTTACTCAAGCTTAAATTTTCTGTTGTTTGTTCATCTCACCCCAGAAAAGCAAGTAAGTGGGAAAGGAAAGGGCTGTAAGGACTGAATGAATAATCGAGTTAAAGAGCCAGGGTGGCTCACATCTACAATCCTAGCTACTCAGGAGGCTGAGATCTGAGAATCATGGTTTGAAGCCAGCCCCAGCAGGAAAGTTCATGGAAGTCATCTCCAATTAACCAGCAAGATAACAAAAGTGGAGCTGTGTCTCAAGTAGCAAAGTACTAGAATTGAGGGGGGCAAAAACTAGAGGAGAATGCCCAAGCCTTGAGTTCAAGCCCCAGGACTAGCACCCCACCCCCCAAAAAAATCGAGTTAAGGACTAGCAGGGCTGAACTTGGGATTTGCTGTAAGATCTCACTGCCAAGTATGGCATGGCTCTAGGCTTCATCTCAATCTGATTGGTAAGACTCACTGCACCTTACTCCTGGAAGAGATTTTCTTTAGTTCTGGCTTTGAACATTACTGAGCTAATCTAAGTCCAAGCACTGAGAACTACAGCCAACATGTGTAAATATAGAGCAAGCGCAGGTTTTACTTTAGTATCTTGGGACTCCTACCCATGATGATGAGAGTTGAACCTGCCACCTCTTGCATACTGAGTATCCACTCACCCTACCACTCAGCTACACTCCCAATCCCTCTTGAGAATCTTTTCTTTTTTTTTTTAATTACTGTGCCTAGTGACTCCATTAGTTTTATTTTTACATTCCTATGTAGTCTGATGTAAATTTGGATTACTGTGAGAACTACTGCAATAGAAATAGAAACCCAATTCTAGGATCTGGAATTACATTACTTGGGAATCAAATCTGAATCCTGCCATTAACTCTCTAAGACTTTGAGTAAATAACCTGACCCCTCTTTAACTTAGCTCCTACAAATTGGAGATGGTAAGTCAAGCACTGGTGACTCACACCTATAAGACTAGCTACTCAGGAGGCTGAGAATCCTGATCCAAAGCCAGCCAGGGTAGACAAATCTGAGAGACATTTATATCCAGTTAACTAGCAGAAAAAGCTTTAAGCGGTATGGCTTAAATGGTAAAGTGCCAGCCTTGAGCAAGAAAGACTCATGAAGATAGAAGGCCCTGAGTTCAAGACCCAACACCAGCACACACACACACACACACACACACACACACACACAAATAAACAACTGGAGATGACACAATCACAGTGTCTACCTGATAGAGATGTTGAAGGAAGACAAAGGAGTAGAGTTAATGAATATCAGTTGTTACTACTATTATTAATATTTGAATAATTAAAGACCAATAAGCCCAAGCTTTAAAAGGCTAGCTAAATCTCAGACAGGATGAGATCCTCTAGGTCTACTAAGGCTTAGGATTGTCAAGGATGCCCTTTTTTTTTTTAGTTCCAGAGCTAGGGTGGTCTCAGGGTGGCAGAAAAAGCTGACAGCAGCAGCTGGCAGCTGGCATTTGTCCTAGGAGGTGCACCTGACAGACATTTCTTTGGCTCATCTGGATCCCATCCCAGTGTAAGAGCCAGGTTCCTGGCTCTCTTCCGTCTGGAGTAACAGTTTTAGAAACCAGATTCTGAGGTCTGGTTGACTCATAGGGAAATGACTCGGCAGGCAGCCATGAGATCAGAGCCTCCAGCTTCACACTGCCATGCTGTCTGACAGCGGGAGAATGAGTATTTCCTCCCGGTTTTCAATAATACTTGAATTCAAGCTTTGGCCTCACAGAATAGGTTAGGCAAAGGACTTTTAAAATCATTTCAAATGTGCCTGTTATCTGTGATTACATTCCCTAGTCTCTTATTTGGCTAATTCTCTCCTCCACACATATACCATTCCCTCCCCACCTTGATTTTTGTTGTTGTTGTTGGTGGTGGTGGTGGTGGTGGTCATAGTGGAGCTTGAACTCTGGGTCTGGGCACTGTCCCTGAGCTTTTGAGCTTAAGGCTAGTGCTCTACTACTTTGAGCCATAGCAGCACTTCTGGTTTTCTGGTAGTTAATTGGAGATAAGAGACTCACAGACTTTCCTGCCAGGGCTGGCTTTGAACGGTGATCCTCAGATCTCAGCCTCCTGCGTAGCTAGGATTACTGACGTGAGCCACCAACTCCCAGATCCCACCTTGATTTTGTTAGTGAATTATTATATCATGAGGTCCTCTGTGGAGTTTGGTTTTGTTCGGATTTTCATCTTTTGGAGAAAGGCTCTCACTCTACTGCCCAGGGTAACCTCTAAGGCATTATCCTCCTCTGCCTTAACTTCCTCAAGGCTGAGATTACAAGCACAAGTAAGCATGCCCAGCTCTTGTTTTCAACTTGAGAACTAAATTATTTCAAACCTAAAATTCTACAGTTAGCCAGCTTGGCTACAGAGTAAACCCATGTAGACAAAGAGAGATTGGGGGGAGGAGAGAAGGAAAGAAAGAAGAAGGAAAGAAGGGAGGGAAGGAAGGAGAAAGGGAGGGAGGGAAAAAAAGAGGTAGGAGGGAGGGAGGAAGAGGGGAGGAAAGAAGGAAAGAAGGAAGATCAACAAATGAGAAAGGGCTCTGAAACTAGAGAAAAACAACCTTTAGATCAAAGTGCGAACAACTGTACCAGATTGCATCATCCTGAGTAGTTCATAGCACCCTCTTGTACTCTCAGAAGTGACTGCGTCTGAATGACACATCATATGGTCACCCTTATCATCTTCATGTACTACTCTGAAGATGCAGTACAGGGTAGTAGAACATGAACGTGACCTGGATCTGTATCCCAAATTGACTACTGACTGGTAAGGAGGACCCAAGCATCACTTCCGGAAATCTAGGTCATTGATCGGAGATTTCCAATGTCTCTAAAAATCTGCACGTTTCAAACTTGGATGAGTGTATTTGTCTCCTGGGGATTTGGTTGGAATTTAGATTCGGCCTAGTAGGTAAAGGATGAGGCTGGTGTCCTGCAGCTGCCCCACCACGCCCATGCTAACTTCAGTCTGAGCATCAAGGGTCTGAAGGTCACATGCAGTCAGAAGTACACGTGTTTAACTCCTTTAGAAGGGAGTGTTTGCTGCAGGACTCCAGAGCCTCTAACATACTTCCAGAGGTGAACTGAGCAACTCGGGAAAGGTTTTCAGGAAGTGAAAGGTCTTTTATACAGGGGTGACAAAGGCAAGAGGGCGGCGAGTTTTCCCAGGCTTGAGTTCACATAGTCCCCTCCCAGGTGAGTAGTCTTCTGTGGCTTCCCACACCTAAATCCCACTGCAAAGAAACCCACTACTCCTTCTATACCCTATTTTACCCCTTGGCTTGTGTTTTGGACCATGTGAGTTGGCCCATACACTGGCTGTCCACTTGTGTGGCCAGATATCAAAGGAGGAACTGAGCCCACCTATCATCACTCTTTGCTTTCTAGAACAAAGCAAATATGAAAAGATCCTAGGTTGGAATCAGACCTGAGATGAAAGCTGTTTGAGAGCTCAAGTTATGAGAGAGACAAGCTGTACGTGCAAGAGGTTGAGATCTGAGGATCACAGTTCAAAGCCAGCCCAAGCAGACAGATCCATGAGACTGTCCGATTAATTGTCAAAATGCTAAAACTAGAGGTATGGATCAAGTGGTAAAACAACAGATGAGTGAAAAAGCTAAGTGACAGTGCCCAGGCCCTGAGTTCAAGCTCTAGTACTACCCCCAGCCCCGTGCCCCCAAAAAGAAAGAATCAAAGTGAATGAAAATGGAATCAAGGCATTGGGGCAAAACAAAAACACCTGGAGGCTGGGAATGTGGCTTAGTGGTAGAGTGCTTGCCTAGGACACATGAAGCCCTGGGTTCAGTTCCTCAGTACCACATATACAGAAAAAGCCAGAAGTGGCACTGTGGCTCAAGTGGTAGAGTGCTAGCCTTGAGCAACAGAAGCTCAGGGACAGTGCCCAGGTCCTGAGTTCAAGCCCCAGGACTGGAAAGAAAAAGGAGGAGGAGGAGGAGGAGGTGGAGGAGGAGGAAAAAGAAGAAGAGGAGGAGGAGGAAGAGGAGGAGGAGGGGAAGGGGAAGAAGAAGCAGAAGGAGGAAGAGGAGGAGGAGGGGAAGGGGAAGAAGAAGCAGAAGAGCAGAAGAAGCAGAAGCAGAAGCAGAAGAAGAAGAAGAAGAAGAAAAGAAGAAGAAGAAGGAGAAAGAGAAGGAGAAGGAGAAAGAGAAAGAGAAAGAGTAGGAGAAGAAATAATACCTGGAGAGCGCTTAGAAAGGTAAGTGACTAACATTGGGGGCTACTGTTGGGCTCCCAAAGTGCATGGTCTGTCCTCCAGCTTTTTGCAGTGCTCATGGACAGCAGACTAGGGAAACACGGAATGAACAGTATGGTTGTCTCTCTGCAAGCCATTTGTGGACCAAAGGGAGGTAAGAGACCTTTGCCACTTCCTCTCCAGGAAGGCCAATGAACAATCAGTAGGATTGTATTGCAATCATATACTCATTCCCTCCTGCCTCACCCTTTAGCCACCCTGCTCATGGCTCCATTCTTCATTTTCCCTCACCACTTTATTTTATGCCTGCCTTGTAGGCCTCTGACTCCAATGTGCAA